AAAAAAAAAGTCTATCAATCTTACTCGCCCGGAAGAGACGGCCACGAGTTGCTCTGTCCCTCGAGGCTGGACGTGGGTGCCCCTCACCTCACTTCAGCAACCTCAGGTTGCAGCTGTGCGGCCTGAGCTGATACCCTGGGCTTCCTTTCGCCGAGGAGAAAAACGCATTTCCAGAGGGCTATTCCTCTCGCCTATTGCACCTCCTATTTTAGCACGGCATGAAGTGTCTTAAGGAGATGACTGTCTCTTCGTCGCCTAGATGTGAAGTTGGAATGCTCGATGGATGGCAGTAGGTGAGACGACTCTGTCTTTCCACATCTGGACAAAGTAGCAGTTGTGGGTTGTCCTCAGGTGTAACTAGAAGACACGCTATGGCTTGTCCTAAGTAAAAAGCCGAGCCTGTCTGGCAGTAGCAGTCCATTTCTTCCGAAAATATATGAAATCTAAATAGTTGTCATTTGTAGTAGCTACTAACAATACACAGTTTTGTACCTAATTTTGCACATTTTGGAAATGCAGCTCAGAAATTATTTTTTCTTTTAACCACACTTCCCCTATGAGGCTGTGTCAATGATGGGATTGTAACCTGGTTCTTCTATGTTCTTAGTCTTTCTCTATAACCGTGTGAACTTCTGAGAAGTGAGAATTTAAATATTTAAGACACTTCATGAAAAAAATCTAATGACATTCTTTGGTTCAGATGTGAATCATATTAAAGTACCATTTTTAGCAGGAAGTAATCTACTCATTTCTTTGCAGTGAAAATAGTTTTGTCATCTAGCCACAAGTATTTTTGCTTTCAGTGTTTATGGATAATATCTCTCTTCACTGCTGTCCTTTTGCCAGTCTTCAGGTTTAGTTAACTGAGAACAATAATGCCATCACTTTATTCTCATTATAGAGAGACATACATCCTTAAATAAAAATAGTGAATTTCAGTTTTTCAGGGTTCAAGCTCTAAACCTATATTCATATGGATCAAATGCCGAGTTTCTTAGATAAATGTGTTTACTTTGAATGATCCTTTTCTTTTTCAATTCAAGTATTGATACAGCTGTCTTTGTAGGGTGGAATCTCCTTGTACTCACTATTTTTTTTTAATATATGCAAAGGCATCACATCATAAATGGAGGGAAAAAAAAAAGGTGTGTTTAGTAAAATTCGAAGACTGACATCAGTTATTTTTTTACTGTGGCGATTATACTAATCTATTGATGGTTACAGACTTCCCATGTCTCATAAACTCACGGGTTATGGCCTGAGACTACAGGAATTAAGCTGATTTGCAGCAGTGAAGGATGCAACATTTATGGTCTGTAGAATCAGAAAGATAATTTGAAAACAACAAAAAAAGAGAGTGTTTCCTAATACATGCATTTTAAAGTTTCAGAGGACTAAACATAACAGATGGATGTTATTTATCTCTAGAATTGTGTAAATACTTTTCTACTGATTGTCAGAAATTATATGTTCTTTTACAGCATGACCTTCACGAACTGCAACATTTTAAATTAAATTATGAAGACACTCTAATAGATCTAGAGCTAAAGCTGTAAAACATTGTTTAAATATTTTGACTTTTATTTTAATAACTGTTAATGTGCTTCATTGTTAAAGATAGTCCAAGTTGAAAGCCATTTTCCATAGACCTTCATCGACAGTTTCTGTTTTCTAAATGCTTTACATTTTTCCCGTTTAAAGTCTGCATCTTTTTAGGTTGCACTCGCACAGTTCACACTTCCCACGTTTGCCAATCATCAAGGCTATGTGGAGTAATTTTTAGATACTTCTAAACAAACAAAACATTATTTCATCCTTTCTGTGCAAAACAGTGGAGAACAGACTGCTTCACCAAACTGCAGGTGCAGAAGGAGTCTGGGTATAGGAAAGGCTCTGCCCTTCGAACTAGGAGCATCTCCTGCCAGATTTTAACCATTTTTTGGGCGATCCCCTGCAGTTTTGCAAGTCTGCTCAATGAGAGAATTTTGTCTCTTGTTGAAGGACTTACAATCCCTTACAATTCACCTCTCCTCACGACCTCTATTCAACACACCTCCAGCATCCATTTCCTTGTTTCATTTCAGTTCTCTGTACGCTGTCTCATCAGAGCTTTGTGCTCTACCACTATCCCTCAGGAAGAAATTTTCCCTCCGTTTCTCTTCAGTCACAGTTTTATTATAGTGTCAAGTTAAAAAAAGAAAACACATACAAAAAACTCCTATCAACCAACAAATAAACAACCCCCAAACTTTTATATAAGTTTATATACACTGCTGGAGATGCCTGTTTTGTCTGAGCTAATTTGATTAATGAATTTATGATCTGCTTTAGATGTTTAACTTCTGGGTGCTTCCTTAGCACGGCAGTGAGTGCAGGCTTGGCTGCTCTTAGATGATGGCACTGGCAGTGCAGCATCACTGTTCACACTTATTATTGACCAGCTTCAGCTTCATTAACCAGGGTCCATGCTCTCTCCTTGCACCTGGACATGGGTATTCACAACATTCCTAACATGTTATTACTGACCCTTACTATTTTTTTCTGCATTCTGAACATTGGAAAGAAACCCGATAACTTCATAATCTCTGGCTCTGTCCTGGTCTACTCTGAGAGAGTGAATTTATATTTTTCCATTGCTATTTTTTCTTTTTGTGCCTTTTTCCATACTTGGCATTTGGTAACTGTTGCATTTATATTTAATTTAATATGGTGAAAACCCTTAAAATATGTGGCAAAATAGATACTCAGTAGCTTATCTTTTAAACCTTATTTTTTAAATGTTCTTTTCATCCTGCCTTGAGCTGAGCTTTGGAGTCTTGGACCTCTGTTGCTAAAAGTGGAGCTGAAACTACCATTGATTTTAATGAGTGGGGAACATTTGTGCAGAAAAATTTAGGAACACATGTTTCAAAAAACAACCAGAGATAAAAAAACTGATGATAAGGCTGGAAACTTTCCTATCTGTTATGAACTTTAGATTGTAGAAATCTGTCCATTACAATCCTGTTAACATCGAATCTCAAAGGCCCAGAAGCTCTTATCTATTTCAGGCACACTGCAATTGGTGGAAGCTAAATACAATTTCTACATCTAACTAGTCTGGGAGAGTCCTGAGGCTTCAGATAGGGAGTTGGGCCAATTCAGCCTCGAGATTACAGAGGGAGACCTCATCAGTGTCTATCAGTATCTGAAAGGAGGATGTCAAGAGGATGGACCAAGGCTCTGCTTGGTGGTGCCATACAACAGGACAAAAGGCAAGGGCAAAAAAGTGATGGACAGGAAGTTCCACCTGAACATGTGGAAGAACTTTACAGTGCAGGTGGGCAGACACTGGAACAGATTGCCCAGAGAGGCTGTGGAGTCTCCCTCTGGAGATATTTAAGAGCTGTCTGGGCCCAATCCTGTGCAAATGTGCTCTGGGATAACCCTGTTTGAGCAGGGAGGTTGGACCAAATGACCCACTGTGGTCCTTTCCAGATTTTGGCCCTTCAGCCTTGGACAGCTTTTGCCATTTTTATCCCATAATGCTGAAACTATCAAGAAGATAGTTGTGGTCACAGTTTTTCTTTTCCCTCTTTTCTGCTCTTCTGATGGCTTCTGGTGATTTTATGGTTCTTACATTCACAGAGTCACTTGTAAGTAAAATTTTCCAGGACTTGTTGTTTGTCCCTGAGGTACAGTATAACCACATAATTGTCCATTTGGATGTTCTAAACTCCAAAGCCAAATGGCTGCATCAAAACTACCTCAGAATAGTTATTCCTAATCTGTTTTAATCCCTAAAATGTATGGAAGAGTAGTATCTGACTTGTGCTAAAGTTTTTCGAAAGGTCATGCTACCAATTAATTGTATGATTCACTGATCCTTGGGCTGGGCCTATGTAGCCAGTTGCTTAGATTCTACCCAGCTCCTTTTTATCAGGTAACACTTGTAAGGACTCCAGACTTAATTTCTGATGAAATGATACAACCAGAAAAATATTGTAGGAGAAAAGATTTTGAGGAGGAATGGGAAGAAATAGCTTAATTTGAAAGCCTTTGGAAGGCTGTGGCTGTAGTCAGAATCCCAAACGGGATGGTCACTTTTAAGTTCTCAGGGAGCAGCAGGTCAGGGTGCTGGGCAGGGGCAGGGTTTGGGGAGCTGGAGCTGCACCTAACTGCAGCCTCCCAGTGCCCTGGCAGGGGGAGAGGAGCAGGAGTGCTCCGCAGCCTGGTCCAAGCATGGGCCAGAGCTCTGATGCAGCTCTCAAGTCAGGGCATGAAGCCCCATCCTAGCTCCACAAAACTCTTCCTCATTTACTTTGCTTTTCTTCTGGACATCTTATCCAAGGTTCATCTCATCAGACCTGATCTTGAACAGAAATAGCAAACCCTGAGGAAGTGATGGAAGAGTTTGTAGATCTTACACTTAGATCCCTGACAGTAGCATCATTATTCATTCATTGGAGTATGAAAGAAAAATAGCTGAGGGACTAGATTTTCATTTAGATGTCTGTCTGTACACTAAATGGAATCTGAACTGAACACATAGGCTTTTTTATGGGGGGGAGGGGAGGATGTTATAGCTTAAATTACTACTATAAGCAAAGAAGCCTTCCCTATGATTATAACAATATCCTTTATGGATGTTTGAAGAATTGGATGTTGATGACTGTGAAGTTAGATCAATTATCAGTGAATTTTATTTCTTGATCCTTCTATTTCCTGGATTATGTCTTTCTCAAAGTTATTTTGAGTGTTCCAGAGTGCCACTATTTTCATATAGAGACAGAAGAAACTAAACAACAAAATCAACAACAGCAAAACCCTCTAAGCAGACATGACCACAGTCAAATAAAGAGAATTTGCTTATTCATAGTAGAATATTACTCTTATGCAAGCTTTGTATTCTTTGGTTTGCGAATTTTATATAAATTTTATTTTATTTTTTGTCTGTGTTACAAAATAATATAAAACATAGTCTTGCCTTGTGGTGAACCTGACCAAGTAATTGTAGCCACAGAACAGTGACTATGTGTTTGAAATATCTTGGTAAAGTAAGCTTGATCTTAAATTTGTTAGTTTAATCATATACAGCTCTAGGTAGATTCAGTATAAGAGAACTTTTGTTCTTTTATTTTGATTTTATTTTTATTTATCCCATTTCACCCTGGGTTTTTTTGTTTGATTGATTAGTTGGTTTTTTTGTTTGTTTGTTTGTTTTTTTTCTTTCAGTAAAGACACAGTTTCATATTATGTTTAATAATGAGTAAGAGGATTCCAATTGATAGCAAACTTTCACCCCAACTACCTA